TCTGTACGAAACTAGAATCATACTTATTCTTTGGCAACCTGCTTCTAAGTCAGTACATATAACTAAATGTTTTATACTCTATCCTCAGTGTTGGGCATTTTGTATCCCACTGTTCAGGTTGAGTGGCAGTGTAGTGTAGTATTTAAACATGGCCACCTTAGAGTCGGATGAATCCCAGCTATACCACTACTAACTGTATGACCCTGGGTAAGTCACTCAACCACTCTGTGCAACCAAACCAACGTGAGTTTTCTCCTTGGTGACTCATAGAGAAAAACTACACCAGGTGCATTGTCACACAAAGGAAAGTTTATTTGCAGCAAATGAGAAGATGATGGAGGATAATTTCCAAAGCCGTGACTCCCCAAGCAAGTGTGAATGGGTATCTACAGAGACGCAGGCATAGGTCTTAAGGCCTTAAGGCCTTAAGGAAACATTATATGCTTTGTAAATGAGGTGTGTGCTTCTCTTTGGGTAGAGATTTTAGTATAATCATGAGATATAGGTCATTATTGGTCATCCCAGAGGTGACTCCATGGTTCATCTGCACAAGCATGAGTTGGGGGTTTAGCTCAAACTGGTCTGGGTGGTCTGGGCCACCAGGGCTCTTCCTCTGGGCAGTTATTATTGCTTGAGTGATAGTTTCAGTTTCCATCATGGGATATTATGTCTGTATGGTCCATTGCCTGCGTCAGGAGATACTCAAGGAAGAAGAGCTTAAGGAGAAATGTGGGACAAACAAATCCCACAAAAAAAGTAGGATAGATAGATAGATGATAGATAGATAGATAGATAGATAGATAGATAGATAGATAGATAGATATCACATCTTCTTTATCCACTCATCTACTGATGGATACTTGCATTGCTTCCATATCTTGGCTATTGTAAATAATGCTACAATAAGCATGGGCGTGCATACATCTTTTCAAATTAGAGATATGGTTTTCTTTGGGTAAATACCCAGCAGTGAAATTACTGGATCATATGGCTTTTTGATTTTTTATTTTTGGAGAACCCTATTCTTTTTACCACAGTGGCTGCACTGGTCCCTATTGATGGATATTTGTGCCATTGCCAATTCTTTACGTGTTTTGGCTACTAAAGAAACTGCCAAGGCAAGTTATGAATTGCCCTTAACCTCTAATACATTTGAGCTCCTATTTCTTTCTGAATTACCAACACCCAACAACAGCTTATAAGCACTTAACAAATGCTACTTATGTTGTTGATGCCCCTTGCAGGCAGCACAAAATGGGGTGAGTGGGGGGTACAGTAGGGTGGCTTCCAGGCTAGACCCAAGGGACTCCATTGTGAGTTTTCTCTCTGTAGAGATGCCATGCCAGGAAGGCAGATGCTCAGCATAGACTGGGAAAGGAAGCAGGAAGATTGGAACCTGAGATGTCAAGCAGTAAGTCAAGCTGGGCTGGACAGAAGCCAGAGAATGTGTGTAGGCCAGAAACATATGGCCAGGGACAAACCTGAGTTGAAAGAATTCGAAAGGATGTTTTGGGAACCAAATATTTTAGGAAATAAGTGTAGCATACTTTTTGTGAGATGCTATAGTATATATAGGTCTCATTAACCTATAGATACAAATGAAGTTATATTAATATCGATAAGGGCCAGAAAGAGCCCCCTGCCCTAGATGGGCCACTTGACATGAAGATTATTTTGAGTTCAAAAGTAATCCAAACCCAGCAGATTCAGAAAAAGCTCTTTACATCCCCCACAACTGCCGAAAAGAATTTAGATAAGGACCTGCTCCAGGAAAAGAGCTGTCACCATAGCTGTCACCACAGGTAACTACACTATGATATGAACTAGGTATGGTAGACATGGAGAGACCTAGCAAGGCTTGCTTTTTCAAAGTCCTCTCTTTGTCCCACTGTTTCTGAGTGCCCCAGCAAACACTGATGTACGAAACATTTACTCTTTTTTATTCTTTCTGAAGATTGCATTCCTTCAATTGAAAACCCCACGCCTTACCCCTTTTCTTTAGTTCAGAACGACGCATATACTTCTTTTTGCCTATCTTTAGAATTTCATGTTTATGTGGATTTCTCATACATATGTTATTAAATTTCATTTTCTCCTGTTAATTGGTCTCGTGTCAATTTAATTCTTATCCCGCTAGAAGGACCTTGAAAGAGACAGGAATTCTTCCTTCCCCATAATATTAGTTCCAAAATGACAAGGCTCTTCTCCCTCATGTTGGCAGGGGAGCTCAGCTTCTTTGTCTCAGTCTCCCTGGACCATTTCGGGGGGTCAGGTGGCTGTGGGATTCTCATATGCACAAGGACAAATTTACTCACCCTGAGGTGCCTCACCAGCCATAGCCTCAAGTGCAGGAGACAGTGCAAAGAACCCGCTCTACTGTTTCCTCTCCTCCCACCATTCCTCCTGCCCCCACCCCCACCCCCACCCCCAGGGGAAGTGTGCTTGCTATGTCCTTTGGCAGAGTTTGTGTAAGATGGGCTATGGAGTCAGAGGAAAGAATGACGCTGTCTCCAGGTCTGTGTCTAGAATTCTGGAGAACTTAACTCTATTTCTCTCCCTAAACTCAGTCTCTGCTGAAGTTCCACACATGTCCCCTGAGGCCGAACTGGGGAAAGGGAGAGGACTACAGATAGGAGCCATGCCCTCCATTGTTTTTCTGCTTTATCTTTTTAGTTACTCAAGAACAAATATTGACTGACCATTGTAGTGGATTTAATGTAAAATGAATCCGAATTCCTTGACTTTTTCAGTACCTAGGGTGGACTCTCCCCACCATCCTCCTTAATCTGGGCTGGCCTGTGACTGGTTTTGGTCAGCTACGTGTGGCTGAAGTGACAGTATGTGTGTCAGTCCCAAGTCTACACCTACCTCAAGAGGGCTTGGGTGCTTCCACTCACTCTCGGCTCCTCACCAGGCCCCGAGAACAGCCCAGGTTCGACTACTGGCTGCTGAAAAATCACCTCAGCCCACAGCGAAGCACTGCCCAGCAGAACCCAGAAGACCTGTCCTGCTCAGCTCTGCCAAGATCAGCAGACTTGGGTAGACGACCTGCTTTCACATGAGCGATCCCAGGGAGACCAGAAGAACCACCTGGTTAAACCACAGGCTTGTGAACCCAGTAAGGTCTGTGCCATTTGAAGCCATTGGGTTTTGTTTGTTACACAACATCATTGTGACAATGGATAACTGATATAATGCTCTTTCTGACCTCCAAAATTAATAGTTTTTTCTTTTCTTTTTTTTTTTTTTTTTTTTTGTGGATTCAAACACCTCCCTGAGAAGCTGAACAAATAGCCAAACTCTAGTTCTCAGTCTAGATTCAGCCCAGACACTCTACTGCCTGTACAACAGTCAGTGAGAAAGACACATTATCCAGAAGAAGATGTTTTAATATATCAGATGTCCTGAAATCCTAAGGGAAACCTAGTCAGCTGGGAGTGATATACATGAGGAGTAGGTGCAGTAACGCCCTACCAATCTTTGATAGGGTCACAAAGATCCCAGTAAGTGTGGCATGATGGCATTTCTCGTGAAACCAGTGAGGGAGGCCAATCTCCCCATTTTGAACTGAGTTGAAGCTGAAGTGAGGCCAAGAGCTACCAGAACCAAAAAAGAGGTGCTGAGCTGCCCCAGGCCCCAGAAGCCAGGCTCCAACCAGGTTCACCTACAATCTCTGATGGAAGGGGAGCCTTGTAGTGGGAATCTGAATGATATATTGACTTCAGTTTACAACCTGTCTCTACACATCTTCAGTATGCCAAGTTGCTTTCTAATTCTAGTCCCTAGGTGGCTATTGCTCTATGTTGTGACCTCCAGTGACAAAATTCCTAGGGACAAGATAAGGGGAGAGCATCGTTAGGTATGTGAAGAGTGATCCCTGACTGCAGACTGCTCTTCTCCATCTGATTGATTGCAAGGCATCTTCTCTTCCTCAGGGTCCCCTTCCTCATCATTTGTTATTTCTAAGGACTTTGAGTGGAGCTTGCACACCTAGGGCAGATGAATAGAGCTCGCCCACCCAGGTGGCTCTGAAGGGGTTCACTGGGCTCTCCTGACGGAGTTCCTTTCTGACTGGGGGCCTGCTCATCATACCAAAGCTGCCCACAGCCCAGCAAACAGCTACCGCAAGGCAATAGGCCAGTAGCTGGAAATCTAAGGCTTGACAGCAGGGTGCAGAGAAAGTGATAAATGATAAGTTGTTGATTATTGATTTCTAGTTCTGTTTACCCTTTCCAGTAATAATAATAATAAAAAAAAAAAAAACTGAGGGTGAACATAGGAAAATCCTTCTTAACTTGATAGATTAGCATCTTGGGCTGGGAGTGAGGGTTGGGTTGAGTAAGGCCCTGAGAGGCAGTTAACGTGGGTCCTGCTCCCTGATAACCTTTTCCAGACATTTTCCCACTACAGTCATAGTTATGTGGGTGTAGTCCTAATTGTTTGGTATCTGACCTTGGTGTGATTTGGGGCAGGGGAATATTGACTTGGTGTGTGAATTAGATAAAGGAAGTGGTTGGAGGCTCTGGGCTCAGGACTGGTCAGTTTGCATATCAAAGTCACAGGCAAGTTGTTTGCTATCTCTAGGAATTAGCTAACCCTAGGAGACAGTCCCTCCTCAGGTCTGAAAACCCCCTACATGCCAAAGCATAGAAAATACAGAAAATTTTAAAAAACATGATAAATACAGCAAGCCAGGAGAATATGCATCCTCCATATCTGCCCTAAATACCCGAATTCTCGGGACACTTGATAGTTTCTGGGTCTCCCCTCAAGTCCACACAGCTTAGGACTCAGCATTTTGCCTTCTAAGTATTTACAGAAGTCATTCTCAGCACCACAGTCCAGCTGTTTTGACCCAGAGCAGTTCTTTGCTTTTCCAGGAAACCAACGGGATGAAAGTCCAGGGCCGGGACTTCCTCCTCAGAGTGTTTGACAAGGACTGACGTACTCTAGGCCCTTTGAATACGGGAAGTCCAGGACACACCCAACCTTGACTGTCGTTTCTTGAATGTTGAATGCTGGAGCTCAGGTAGAAGGACAGAAGCAAAAAGATTTCAATATGAGGGACCCACTGGCAGATTGTTCGGTGAGTAGCTCAGTGTGGTTTTGCGCCTGTGTGTAAGAGGGTGGCCCTAGAGGGGTATGTTTGTATATGAATGGGTTTTAGCTAAAGAAATCTGAGACGTTCAGAAGACAAAACATGTTTAGATATTAGCTGTGATGCGGCTTTTCTTTGGTTTGATTTAAAGGAAGAGTCCTTTCTAGCAAGTGACAGAGCAGGTTGTCATCTTTTATTCTCATAGTGTTGGAAACTTCGAAAAACTTGGAGTGGGTATAGCATCATGTTTGCTTGCAGGTGGTGGCTGTTTGGAAAGCATTCCTAAGATATACACCGATGGTGCCAATATCGCGTATAGGGTGGCTCTCCAAACATTCAGAATCTGCAGGCAATTTGGGGTTCTGGGAATGAAGTAAGGGTGGAGGGTTTTAGCCTATTTTCCCAAATCATTTAGAGTCAATAATTGCAAGGCCTGCAAGAGGAAGGACACACTCTGCACTCTGCCTGTCCTACGGTGGTTCTCAGACAGGTTTACTAATGTGTTTGTTTAGTCCTGGGAGTGTTTACCAAACACGGAAGATTGGCCAGAAGTCCAAAGACAGTGTGAGGTCATTAGCAGCAATTTAGGAAATAAGGAGCAATTAAAATAAGGTGTGTGTGGGGGCATATATATGCTTTGAACATAAAATAATCAAGAATCATCAGTGTGTTAGCCCAATAAATGATGCCAAAAAACTGAAATTGGTGACATCAAAAGCAAGGGGTTACATTCACTCATCTCTCAAGTATTTTATCAAAAAAAAAAAAAACCACCAACAATAACAAACTGGAGAAACAGATAAATGAGGGCGGTAATAAAGCCATAAAGAAAAAAAAATAAAAACAGCGACGCCTGCGTGGCTCAAGTCGGTTAAGCATCTAACTTGCTTTCAGCTCAGGTCATGGTCTTGCATTTCATGAGTTTGAGCTCTGCATCAGACTCTGTGCTGACAGTGCAGAGCCTGCTTGGGATTCTCTCTCTCTCTCTCTCTCTCTCTGCTCCTAACCCACTTGCTCTCTCTGTCTCTCTCAAAATGAATAAACTTAAAAAAAACAATTTTAATAGAAAAAAGCAACAGAGAATTAATGGTTTCATTGTTGTTTATTCAATGGACAAAGCACAGGCTTAGAGAAGATGGAGCTGAATCAGATGAGCTAAATGATGTAAAGTCATAACAGCTAGTAATATTATTAGTGATGATGTAATAGCAGATTCTGCCTACTTTCACTTTTTTAAATAAAAAGTAATATGTGTCTAATGTAAAAACAAAAGACCCCAACAGTATGATTGCATACAGATTTTAAGACTGAAAATTCCACCCCTTTAATTTCCTCCATCCTAAGCTTCTGTCCATTGGGAAGCACAGAAAACTTTTTAAAAAAAGTCTTTTATCATTTTATGTATTTGCTGTTTATTTTTCTCTCTCTGCCTTTGCCCCCTTACCAAGTGTTAAGAAACACTTTCTTACCACTGATACTTAGATGATGTATCTGCACAGGGGTTGTTGAGTGAGACAGGGATATAGGGTAAATGGAGGCAAAAACTTGGCACCAACAGAAAGTCAAGACCACATGAAGAGTGAGATAGAAGAGAGAGAAACTGGGACCAAGTTAGGTTGACAACAGCATGAACACAAACTAAGAGCTTAATGGCCTTTTCCAGGGCTTTCAGACCAGGATCTGGGAGACATATTTTCTACTGAGCAGCCCCCAAGATAAACTGTCTCCAGGTGTGTGGGTCAGCCCTATGCTCCCTCCCTAACATACTGAGGGGTTCTTCTCTCTAGGCTCAGCCATTACCCCAAGGACTCTCATCCTGGCCCACAACTTGAAGGTTATCATCTCTCTGGGCCCAGTGCCACCAAAGATAGTCGGGGAGTCAAGAGAGGGCGGATATCTCTTCAGCCCAGGTTTCTAGATCCTCTCAAGTCACGGAATCTTTGCCTGTTTGCAAGTGTTTCGCTTTTATCAAGTGTTCAAGTGGATTTCCTGATGCAGTTCTAGTTCATGCTTGGGGAACAATGTGGTATGAAGAGGAAGCTATCGTTTGGCAACATGATAAAACAAAGGAACGGAGTCCCAGTGAATGCTTCACGCAACACTGGGGTGGCTTCATGAAAAAATAAAAAAGAATCCAAAGCTTAACCACCTGCAAAGCGTCCCATTCCATGAGTCCCCAGGGTTGCATGGAACACAGTTAATTCATAAAGCCTTAGCCTAACTGCAGTTCTTAAGCTGGTCTACCCCAGTGGACCTGTGTATGAAAATCAGTGCTCACATGAAATTCAATAGGAAAAACATGGCCTCTTTGTTTCTACTAATCTTTAACTGAAATGTAGTATCTACTTCAGGTCTGAATATAAGCAATAAACTTCAGTACTACCACACTGTTTGTGATTTGTAGCCAATAGAAATCACAGATATTTTTATATAATATTACAGTTGTTGCAAATACCTAGAAATATTATTTGCATACAGTATGATTGAGAAATTGGAGTCATTATTAAGACTTGTTATTTAGTATGTTAATTTGAAAGCATGCATATAATTTAGAAATATGTTTTAATAAAGATATATCAGTATATCACTTGATATCAATATGTCAATATTATATCAATATAATGTTTCCTTTGTAATCCTATGTTATTTTTATCTAATGCATTTAAAAATATTCTGAGTAAAGTATAGATTTCACAAGACTGCCAAAGGGACCCATAATACAAAAAATATTTTAAAATCTCTTTTGTTGGGGCACCTGGGTAGTTCAATCGGTTAAGCGTCTGACTTTGGCTCAGGTCATGATCTCATGGCTCCTGACTTGGGGCCCCACGTCAGGCTCTGTGCTGACAGCTTGGAGCCTGGAGCCTGCTTCTGATTCTGTGTCCCTCTCTGCCCCTCCCCCTGCTCACACTCTGTCTCTCAAAAATAAACAAACATTAAAAAAAAATATTTTTAAATCTCTTTTGTTAAGTTCATGCTCCAAGACAGGCTAATACCTGGGCTATTCAATATCAGACAACCTAGTCAGTGCCCATACTCAAATTATTAATCACTAGGGTAGCTCAAAAATGGGCTAAATACTGTGTAGGCTTTTAAACTAATCTTAAGAGTGTCAAAATTTATTTGAAGAAGGTTTTTTTTTTAAGTTCTGTTTTTGAAAAGGAACAGAATTGGCTCTAGGCCTTAAGGTCTGATGTTTATGAGTTTAGCTTTTATACCTACAAAAAAAAAATGCCAAGTGAAACTGTTTTCAAATCCATGTGCAAGGAAATGGACAGGATCGAATTATCTCCAAATGAAATAATCCGATTATTTTTTAAAAAGCAACACCTTCCTATGAAATAATCCCACAGAAATCACGGGCAGATAACAAACTATAACCAAGTTTATATTTTTATTCACTCCTCTGGTATCCAGGTAGGGGCCTGTCACATCAGACATTCCGGGCTCCACATAGTCTGTTCCTTCCCTTAACATCATCACCTATTGAAGGAGTACCATGCTGAGCTTCCTATCTCAGTGGCTCTGCCTGGGTCATGAGATGTTAACTGGCACTAAGACAGAAGACACTGGTACAATGGCTAATGGTACAATGGCTTCTGAGGGATTCTGGTTCTTCACAGGTATAAGGAGGCAGGTTGGTCTAGCATAGACATCCTATGGCCCACAGCATCCCCGGTGTACACACGGAGATATGTGATACGCCATCCACATTTCATGGGCCTCTGTTTTCTCATCTGTAGAGGAAGAGGAAGAGAGGATGGAGTAGACTATGTTTTTTAATGTTCTATATCTCATAATTTATGGTGGTCTGTCATGGAGCTTCTAAATGTTACCCAGATAATCCCTTAGAGGGGCAGTGGTTTGAAATATGATCCCCCATAAATCAGGATTCACATGAAATCAGTAGCACAGTGCCTGTCATATGAAAGACTTCCAACAAAAACTTATCTGATTAAATACAAGTGGAATATCATGGTTTATTTAACCTATGAGGATGTCACTGTCCAAAACTTTTCTAAACTGCCATCTACAATACAAATGGACTATTCTCGAATAACTGAATTTAACCCTGATCATTCAAATTGTAGAAAGTCAGAAAGAGCAGCTAGTCCAAGGTTGATGTAGTACATTTGGAAGTTATCTAATTATTTCATGTGTCAATTGCTTCGAATCCTACATTTTTGTATGTGCGATGACAATATTAATACAACAGAATTTGCTTACAAATGCTGGGCAGAAATATTTTGGTAAAGATGGAATGGGAAGGGCACTTGGGTGGTTCAGCGGGTTAAGCATCAGACTTTTGATTTTTGCTCAGGTCATGATCTCTTGGTCAGTCATGGGATTGAGCCTTGTGATCGACTCTGTGCTGACAGGCTCTCTCTCTCTCTCTCTCTCTCTCTCTCTCTCTCTCTCTCTCAAAATAAATAAATAAACATTTGAAGGGAGAAAAAGACTGACTGGGAAATGCCTGTGTGTCCTAGCTGTCTCTGTGAAGGGATGATTTTAGGGGCTTAGAAATGTCCCAAATATTCTGCCACTAGCTTAGACTCCTTTTATCAGGGAAAAAAAACAAAACAAAAAAACACATAACTTTTTTCCTAGTAATTCATGAGCCCAAGGAGAGACGACATGTTCACAAAAATTCATATGGAGATGTAAGATCAATAGTAGCTTCTTTTCCTGGAATGAATATTTGGTGGGGTTGGAGTATTTAAAAGCACAATGGAAGGAAAAAGAACACCAAAAATTCACCTTCTGTACATCTTTGAGTAGAGAAAACCCTTCTTATATTGGTTGATGACATTATTAAGCCATTTATGATGATCATAATGTTTAAAGGTAACTATTACTCTGAGTAAACAGTGTAATTTTACTGATGAGGTATTTATAAATATGGTTATTTCTGATGGTTTCTCTAATTGATTGGCTCATCTAATATTTCCAATCACAGTTCTGCCCCTAACTAATGAAGTTATTTTCAGCTCTTTGGCACTTAAGTATAAAATAAACGGATTAGATTTTAGCAGCTTTCAAGCTATGCTCCGTGGAATCCCTTCAGTGGCCTCTCTGGCGCATTAGAGTGGAGTGGGAAGGAGAGAGGTGGGATAGGAAAGGGAGAGCCAAAGCCAAGGTCAAGAGATTTCATACCCTCAAAGCAGATATGTTCCAAGATTTTCTAATCACACACACACACACACACACACACAAGACAAGGTGGTCCTGGGTTCTGCTTTGATATTTATGCAAGTCTGCTTTTCATAGATTTTTGTCTTTAAGTTCAGGTAGATGTGACATGATGAAAGGTACATAATCGCTGTTTCCCAAGAAAGACTTCTGCTGAAATAATGGAAGTATTCTTAGCAACTCTTTTATTTACCGATATCACTGTTATCTCCATGTAGATTAGGGTTTGTCCGGGAGCGTCTGGTACATTGCATGTAGGGTTCAAGATAAAAATTCTCTCCATTGCTGTAATAAGAACATCCTGCTGTCACCCGATCACTAAGTTAACAACAACACAATGTATTCAGGAGCTTTTGGACAAGCGTGTGCCTGGGCATCCTGGAGTTTGGGGAATGAGTTATAAGTGTATCTGACACACCATTCTTGGCAACCCTCAAATAGGCAGGATGAGGCTGGGGGGCAGAACTCACGGGCCAGTTTCCTCTGCCTGAAACAACTTCATTCATTTACCGCACTGTCCTAGTACAAGTATCATCTTCTAGATGTGTCATGATGTGAAAGAAATTACGAAGTACCAGTCTATTAAATAATAGGAAATCCTCTTCCAAAATCTAACGCTGGCAGGTCCAGGGTCAATTAAAGCCTCAGATTTGCTTCCTTGGAGCAGCCTCTTGCTTTAACAAGTTGAATTGAATACCTTTGGGAAAGGCAGAAACTCCCCACTTTCTCACAGTCTCCCTGACTCCCTCTGAAAACAACTGAGCTTTGAATCTATGGTTTAGAAACATTTGAGGCTGTCTGGCCTCCTAGAACTGGCTTCTGGAGGTAGTATTTTAAAAACATGTCTTGGAGAGTTTCAATGGTTTGACAAATTTGGGAAATTCAGCAGTCCCTGCAGACCAGCACATAGAAAAATTCTCAACTGGTTCTGCTCATTTCCACCTTAGTTAGGGACAAGATTTCCCCTACATGCCCCCATCCTCATACGTGGGGTCCGAGGTACCCTGTTCTCTCTCCCCAGGTGTGCTGGCTGCAGACTCCTCCGGTGATGGGGCTGGTGTAGGCCCATCCCGTGGGACAGCGCATCTCAGAGTCCCTTCCTTGCACTCCCGGCTCTCCTGATGGGAGGTTCTTACGTTGCTCTGAAGCCTCCGAGTTCCTCCCGTCTACATCTCTGCTCTATTCCTCAGGTCTACGTCTCTACTCTGTCTGCCCACAGCCCCAGGCCCAGCCCAGCCTCCTACTGTTTCGCAATAAAACTCACTCTGCAAGCACCATTCAAATCTTTTCCTCTTGCACATGGCTCCCTGGTGCTTTTGCTGGGTCGTTGTTTCTGCTTTGCTGTGGCTGGAGAGAGAAGCCGCTGGGACATTACATTAAAAACTTAGAATTTAATACTGTGAGATATTTCTAAATAAATCAAATAAGAAAGCTACAGGACTCAGAAAGAAAATCATAAACTTTTATTGAACATAAAATAAAGTTTGAACACACAAAAAGACTTACTATGTCCTTGGGTGGGAAATCTAAATACCATCAAAAAAGTCAGTTTCCCCAAATTCATATATTTATGTAATGCAATTCCAATTAGGATCCCAACAGGGGCTTTAAAAAAAATGTAATTAGATAAATCCTCATATGCAAGGATAAATGTCCAAGTATAGCCAAAGAAATTATGAAAGGAAGGAAACCAAGACTTGTTTAAAAAGAAAGCAGAAGCAAAGTGTTAAATATCTCTATAACTTGGGTAGCAAGTTCCTATGTGTATCATTATTATTATCTGTATCATTATTATTTTGTGAAGTATAAAAATGTTTCATAATTGAAAATAAAAAGTTTAAGGACTGTGTCTGAGTTAGAACTGTGTTCACTTGCATATTTTAAAAGCCAAAAACCAGAGTGGCTTCTCAAAACCCCTATTATTATATTTCTCTCACGCATAAAGTAAGTCCAAAAGTAGAGAGCTGAGGGCTTATATGTTGGCCCCCAGGGCCCACAGGGATGCAGGCTCTTTTTCTCTTTCTGTTCCACCATCTTTTCCATGGCATCTATCCTCAAGGCAACCTTGTGGCATCAGCCATTGGTTTTACGTCCTGGTGTCAAGAAAGAGGAGGAAAGAACCTTCACTGAACCTCCACACAAAACTTTCACCCATGCTTCCTTGGGAAGCATTTAGTCACATGGCTACATCTAAGGGGGAGACACTGAGAAGTAACTTTATGTCAGGGATATGTGCCCTCCTTCACATGTATCTATTTTCTTCCTATGTGTGATTTGTGGCATGTTATTTGGTAGCATGGGAAGAAAATACAAGGCTTAGGGGGAATTTAGTGAAAATGTTTAGGCAACAGAGGAGCAAATAAAAAGCCAAACAATATTAAAATGCTCACTAGAACTTGCCCATTGTACCTGTAGGGGAAGGAAAGAGGCCTTATAAGATCTTATCGTTCACAGACAAGTTATTTTTATGGAAATAAATACGGGTTGGTTGCCAAATAGAGATTTTACTCTCATGACTCAGAGGAGAATCATTTCCTCATGACATCCTACATGTGAACCTCACTGTAGGTATGTTTTCTTGCTCTGCAGAGAGCTTAAAAATTTGTAAATTGTTTGCTCCCATTGTTTTTTGAAAACCATATTTCAGATGCTAATCTTTACTTCAGCTTTTTGGGACAGACTGGAGTATCTGGCTGTCCTGGGCTGCAGTCCCTTGCTCCAGAGCAGTCGGGACAGCTGTCTCCACCTTGATCTCCCCGCCCTGCTCCTCATGCACGCAGGCATCTGACGAGGGATGCCTGCAGTCAGGTGACTTTGCCAGCCTTGCTTTAGGAGTTCACAATGTCTTCATAAAGAGCTTTGCTCCCTGACTGCTGTCCTTGAGACCAAGGCAGTTTCATTGAAGCCATTTGCTGTTCCCGCGTGTCTACCAAACCCTGCCCTGGCCTTCCGTGTTAAGTTCAGATGAAAGAAGAACCACTACTTAAAGATAAAAGAATTTGGTAAAGGGGCGCCTGGGTGGCTCAGTCCGTTAAGTGTCTGACTTCAGCTCAGGTCATGATCTCACAGTTCGTGAGTTGGAGCCCTGTGTCAGGCTCCGTGTTGACAGCTCAGAGCCTGGAATCTGTTTTGGATTCTGTGTCTCCGTCTCTTTCCCTCTCTCTGCCCCTCCTCTGCTTGCGCTGTCTCTCTCTCAAAAATCAATAAACATTAAGAATAATTTTTTAATTATTAAAAAATATAATTTGGTATCTATAGGATTGTGTTTCTATATCCTAGGTATTGGTTTGTTCCACCCTGAAGGTAGCTACGGACCCGGTTTAGGGTTCTTTCTTTAAGTCCTTTCCTCCATGACACCTTGTCCTCTGTTTGCTACTCTGCTAGCACACCCCCCCGGTGTTCCTGTGACAACTGAGAGGTTGCCTCCGCCCTGAGGATTCATGTCCGTGAACCTGTCAGCTGCATAGTAGGTGCTCCCTGAATGTGAGCCCTCAACGCAGTGCCTGACTAAATGCCACAGGAAGGCAGAACGAGGCTGGCTCATCGTAGGAACCAAGAGTCATAGCATGGCACTCATTTCATACAGAGCGGGCATCCTCCTCTGTAAAACCTCATTTTAAAAAATGCAGTGAAGTATCACACCTCCCAGACAGAACCTCTGAGGGAGTGTGCTTGGGACGGCTCCACCGCCTCACCGACCTACTCTGTCAGGAGAGCTGCAGAACTCATTCACGTTTAGTCTCTCCGTTTGGGCACTTAAAATCTACTGCCATCAATGTCTACTTTTACAAATAAGGTTTTCAGAGTGACTTTGTGGAGTTCTAAGTCAAATGACAAAATCTTTCCCACAGAATTCTTGTGTCTGCAGGCTAAATTCATATAGAAATGAATGTATAAAGATTTATTCATAGATGTGTAAAAGTTTGCTACAACAAAAATGTTCAACTCATTATTATAACATTCTTCTTACTAGAGTTAGAAAAAAAAAATTAATGTTTCTTTTTGAGAGAGAGACACACAGCACAAGCTGGAGAGGGACAGAGAGAGAGGGAGACACAGAATCCAAAGCAGGTTCCAGGCCCTGGGCTGTCAGCACAGAGCCTGACGCGGGCCTCAAAGTCATGAACCATGAGATCATGACCTGAGCTGAAGTCAGACACTTAACCGACTGAGCCACCCAGGCGCCCCTTTATTATTAGACTTAAATAAGATATAGAGGGACCAGGGCACATTTTATTAGCAAGTTATTTCACTTACATATTCTTATCTCAGCCAAAACACCCACAAAAAACAAAAAACAAAAAAACCCCAAACCACCGCACATTCACTTTCATGAGTTTGTGGTTTGACACCCAGGAATGTTATTTGGGAACCTGGGGGGAGGCACAAGATGATTACTCAGTGTACATATTTTAGAATGTATTTTTAACCATCGTGGGAAACAATAGAAGTGACAGGAAGTCAGACTTCAAAATGGCCCCACTGCTGACTTGTTGCCTGGGGACAAACAGACCAGCTGTATTTTTGAAAAGTTCTCCCGGGTATTTCATGTCCAGGCAGAAGACACTCAATCTTTACTTTAGAAACTCATCCAAAAGGTGCACATCCCCGTAGCTTCACGATCATTTACAATGACAGTCATCATTACGGAGCAGTCTAAATTTATAGGAGTTCTGCCTTTGAAAGTGCTCATAACCCTTCTGTGCATCTTTTCTTTTTCAGTATAATAGAGTGTACAAGAATCTAAAGGAGTTTTCTCAAAATGGAGAGAATTTCTGCAAGCAGGTCACATCCATTCTTCAGCAAAGGTACAAAAATGCACGTTTGCAATAAACAGTTCTTCTTTCATTGCAGCTAGCAATAAGGCTGGAGGAGTGATTACAAGCTGTCCTACTTTCCAGAACTCCGTGTTGTATTTTGGTACTGGAGAGATTAGTTTGAAGAGAGATTCTCCTCTACTGCACACTTATCACTTTGGTACCATAAAAATCAGGAAACGATAGGAAGTAATTCTGCTTGGGAAGGCTCAGCCAGGTCTCTTTTGATTCTGCAGACTGAGTTTATCGCCCTCCCCTGGGGCACTCGCTGGTGCCTGATGTATATGCCATTATTGGATTCCCACACTGATGGCAACTCTGAGTTAACATTTCTGTCTTCCCTACCAGGCAGGGGCTGTGTCCTAGTCACCGTTTTGTGTCTGGGTTTTTGACTTCCTCAGTAAATGTCTCATGAATGAAAAGTGACCGTTTTTAGTATCATCTTCTATTAATACTACGTGTGATCACGTGTAAAGTTGTTGGCTATGCTACAATGAGCACGCTTACGTTAGTCAAGACAGTTACAGAGGCTCCTTCTTAAAATTAGAGAACCCAAGGACTGAATTGGGCCATGAATGATCCTTAAGCCGTTTCCCTACATCTAGACAGCCTGGTGGTAAGCAACCCTAAAGAGACCTCCAGAAGACATGACCTATTCTTTTAAGGTAAAACCCATTTCAAATCTAAAATATTGCACGTGTGGTATATATGAGCCGACTGCAGCTCGCACTATGGGACAAGTGCGAAGGGGAATATTGGCTTTATCAGTAACGATAAGTAAGGCCCGGGAAAGAGAAAGGGGAGCTCAAACAGGCAGTTATTTAAAAAGAACAAAAAAGCAAACGAACAAACAAAAACCATGCTTGTCAAATGGAGTCAAAAAGAAAAAACTTTTAAATACGTTGCTGTAATCTTAATAGCCAATTGCTTTGACTCTCTGAGAGGAACAGAGAGGACCGATCTGGCAGGGAAGTTCTTCTTTAATAAAATACTTTTTTGTCTCAAAAAAAATTATTTAAAATAGGACCAGTTAGCTATTATGCAAATTCAACCCATTACCTAGATTAGAAAGCACCCCCCTCCGGCAGATCAGGAAGAATCGAGACATATATTTGCCATGCGTGTGACCTGGATTAAAGTCATCTGGGCCTTGATTATTTGGAGTCCCTGTGTTCAGAATTAGTGCCCAGCAGACAGCAATGAAGATGGAAGGCAGGTGATAAATAATGCCTGACAAATAGACTCAAGAATGAATGGAATAAATACGGAGGAATCAGTGCTCCAAACTGCCTTATTATTTGTCCCTTGTCCGGGTCCCTCCACACTTTCACGCTGCCACAGACACATCTACTTTATATACAATCACAGCCTTCGTTGCTTATCTGTGTCTCTCGAAGTTGCTTCCTAGGGCTACTATCCCAGACTTATTCACCTGCAAAGCCTTCTACCCATAGGTTCTAGAGCAGCAAACAAGCTCCAATGAAGAAGAAACACTTGGGTAGCTAAGAATATTTCTCTCCATAGTTTTTACCTTCTTATGGAGCAGGAATTAGAATTTAAGCATCTAATGAATAGTACTGGTTAGTAAAATTACACCCACTTTTCTGGGATAAAAACCGCATAGCAAAAATACAAGAGGGGAATCTAATGTTTTACCTTGACTAGAGAAGTTATGCTAGATATTAGGTCATTTATGCAACAGATGCTCTCCTGAACATTTTTGTAAAGCTGATCTTATACAATTAAATAATTTCTTCTTAACCAAGATGCCATTTGAGTTGCTTTGTATTTACTCTTGATAAATGTGCTTTTGGCATGTCTCCTCACACCTCCACTTCAGGCTTTCCTTCTTGGCTCACTTGTTTGGTCATGTAATTAACCTGAAGGATGTTCACCCACACTAAAAGAGTAGGTATTGGGGACAATGTTTTCTAACAGACACAAACTTTCTATTAATCTTTGAATATGTAACACACTGTTTTTTTTCTATTTATATTTCTATATGTTAGCTGTCAAATACAGAGGCCACTTCACTTGCTAGAGTCGGCTATTTTTTTTCCCCATTGGGAGTGATTGTTAAGTCACTACTTCTTCCTACAAGGTATTTGAACTGAGTGACATAATAACCATAGCAAAAGGAGGAATGGCCACAACATAGTTCGTACTATACTTGCCTCACTCTTTCCATTCTGAGAAATTAGTATTGATTACCTTAGATATACAAAAGATAAAAAGCTAGGCCATCAGCCATCAACTTAAATGGGTAGAGTTATTACATATAAGTCAATAATACCTTTCCCCTGTATTAGAAAAATACCTGGAAAGCCAATACCCTTATTAAGATTTTATTTATTTACTTATTTATTTACTTACTGACTGACTGACTGACTTGAGACAGCAAGTGTGAGCAAGGGAGGGGCAAAGAGAGAGAGAGAGAATCCTAAGCAGGCTTGGGGCCCCATCCCACAACTCTTTATAAAAACTATCCAGTTACTTAGAGTTTAGACAAGTAATGAGAAACCCCATCAGACAAGTAAATGGTATCTCTGGAACACGTATAGTTGGCATTCCCAGTGAAGGTTATGACATAGAAAATTACGAAGGCAAATCCAGTGGCCAGGATAATAAAAGATATAGTGAGAGAGCTATCAGTCATATAAAATACATTCAATAAATATTTGTAGATTGAAAGAATAAATGAATGCAAGATAGTTAAAGGTTTCTTTCTTTCTTATTTTTTGTGTTTTAGACACACACACACAGAGCACAAGAGAGCACATGAGCAGAGGAGAGGAAGAGGGAGCAGAGGGAGAGGGAGATAGAGAATTGTAAGCAGGCTTCACACGCAGCATGGAGCCCAACGCAGGGCTCCATTTCAAGACCTTGAGATCATGACCTGAGCTGAAATCAAGAGTCGGGTGCTTAAGGGACTGAGCCACCCAGGCGCTCCTATTTTATTATTACGCCTACATTACTAGAACAAGGTCTTTACCGTCCTTGGATATTAACAATTCCAGACACCTTGCTTACGAATCTGTTGGAATGTGGTTCTGCATGGCAGTTCCACATTAGCACGTGGCTACAAGAGACAGCATCACAATCAAGCTTCAAGTCCAGATAATGCTTAATTTCCAAGCTCAGCTGCCTACCAATTTGTCCTAATTGGTGGTGATAGAAAAGTGCAGTTGTTATTGAGACATCATTTTGCCTGGCAGTTCTGCAATTCATGGTCATGCTTAGCTTCTTTTACCCAATTAGCAGCTTCAGTTTCCCTTTTTTTTCTTTTTCTCTTTTTGTTCTAGCAACTCCGATTTAGCCAGAAACACAGCAACTCCTGACATGCCTAATGTCAAAGTCATCGGGTTCACTTTAACACAATTACAGATCGGATTTAAAGGACAAAGGCACATTCCCCAAAACTGTTTATGAATGTTTGGTCTCCTGCACCCTCATGGGTTTACAGTGAGGGTTTAAGCAGGCTTTTGTTGGAAAATCAATTATTCTCTGTAAGGAAGATTAAGATCAGGTTTTCAAATGGCAAGTATCACTGGTCTAGACATTAAAAAATAAATAATTAAAAAGAAAGAAAAGAATGAAACAAAGAAGGAAATGTAGTTGGTCATTGTTCCATCCACAGTTCATTGCAGATGCTGTCGACAAAGGAATAAATGATTGAAATGAAAACTTTCATCAATCCTAACCTTTTCTACTCTGCCCATGGCCTGGGTGACCTTAATTTCCACGGCTTCAGCTCTCTTTTGCATATTGATGACCTGTACATATTTATTACACAGCAATATGTCTTATCTGTACACCCACCTGGGTGTGCCATGCAACCACAGAGTCAACCTATTCAAAATAAAGTTTATCAGCTTTTCCCCAAAGCAGGTACTCCTGGGTTTTTTACCATGGTGACTGGGACCCCGGCCCACCCAATGAAGCCCAATAACTGGGTGCCACCCAGGACCCCTTCTTCTATCTTACCTCATGACCAGGTCTTCATGTTTCTCTCTTTAAGCATCTCTTATGCCCATAACTTTCTTATAATTCCATGGCCTCTGCCATTGTTCTGTGGAAAAAAGATCTCTTACGCTGCTCTTCATCTAGGAGTACTGGCTTAAAATTGTGCAGTTTTCACACTGTGCAAAAGCACCTGGCTGAGGGGCTGAGTGAAGCAGAAATCTAACCCACTCTCCACCCTCGAGCCTTGCACCTTGGCTCTAAGCTCTGTCTTTTCAGAGGATCTCCTTTTTCTAATCCAAGCAAAGTTATCTCAACTAAGGAGCTGGCAAGGGCCCTGCCCTTATCTCTCTAATGCATCTTCTACTCTGTGACCATGACCCTGTTTAAGACTCTTCAAAGACTTCCATGACCTTTAGTATTCAGCCTTCATATTACTTTATAAAGAGACCTTTGAGATCTGGGCCCTGCCTTCCTATCCAACTTGTCTCTCTCCTTCTACCCATGACTCCCACCCCTCTGATCTATTGAACCACTGGCAGTCACCACACTGCCTGGGTCCTTGCCACTCCTCCCACCGACTCCCACCTGCCATCATGGGTCCTTGAATTTGTGCATGCTGTATCCTCTGTCTGGTAGATACTTCTTCACCTTGGTTACCAGTCTGCATTCAATGTATCTTCAAGATTCAACTATCCCACTCATGTGAGCCTCCCCTGACTCCAGTCCCATCTCAAAATGGCACCCCTCAGAGATGCATAGAACTTACCTCGCTCTAGATCCCACTGCCCTACACTGTTATAGTCTGCTCACTTGCCTGTCTCCTCCACTGGGGGCTGGACCCCTTGAGAGTCTTTGTATCCCATGTGACGAGCACAGAGCCTAGAATAGAGCAGACATTCAACAGATGTTTACTGAGTAAATGAATGTGTCGATGTAGGAGTGACTTTAGGCAGTCCTGTCTTTTAAGAAGTTCAAGTTAGACTATTTCTGAGAAGCAATAAATAAATGTGTGAAACAAATTTATTTAG